AAGAATGTCGGTCACATCCGACAAGCAGCTGTTTCTAAACAGGCTTGGGACACAGGCAACATCACACAGCAAGTATGTACAACGCACCGAAAGAATGTGCATGTGTTAGGCAAGTAGCATATGTGAGCATAGGCAACTGTACTAGTAATGTGGCATTCCACGCCAGCGGATAGTGAACAAGCTAGGCAACATCATAGACTCAATCAATCTGTTTCTCATTCTCACACCAGCATGTGGACAATAGAAGTGGACTGAAATGTCAGTCATGGTGTGGATCTTTCGACGTGAAGTTTGTTTTGTCATGCAACAGCCATTCTTGGGGCTTCATGTACGACGTGTATAATATATTCGGGGATTGTGATGGGAACTCCGTTTGGACTCATGCCGCGTGCCCTCAGCAATTGAACAAAAAGAAAAAACACATCGAACTCATCATGGCCAACGTCATCAGCAGCAACATCATACCATCACCATCGCCATCGCCCTCATCCTTGTCGTCCACGCAGCATGGCATGTCGGAGGACCAATGTTTTCCAAAGGGCTTTGAAATTTCTCAGCTCACTTGCCCGACTGCGCGGACAAAATTGTAGTAGACACATCCTCCTTCATGGGGTCTCCAGGGTTGGCCCCTTGCTCCGCACCAAGCACCGTTCGTGCCATTCGCGGCACGCCACGCCACGCCGACCCTAAGGGTGCGACCGCCTCCTCCTGAGTCGATCACCAGCGGCTGCGGGAGTGGCTGCTTTGTGTTTCGCAACTTCATTTTTGCGAGCAGTAACGGTCTCAGTAACAGGTAACTTGGTGGTAACATTTGGAAGTTGCTGTGACTGGATAAGCCTGGGGCGGCTTTTGGTGTGCTTTTTGCGGGGCAGACACAAGATGTGTCACTACCCGGAATATCTACGCAGGGATTACTTCCGTTCCTTTTTTCAAGCATACTTACACTCATGTACTTAGCATACTGAGCGTAACTTTAATAGGGCATCAGTGAATGCTGAATGCTCAGTGTGTGGATGCTTGATGTGCATGTTGAACAAGAGACACGTAATGACACAAATAGCCACAATCAACTGAAAGTCATCCAGCACAGCCCAGAGTGATTCCTGTGTGGTGTGAGAGCCGTAGACCCCTGGGCGACGACTTCATCTAAATGAAAGAAAAGGTGCTCTTGGCACCGTAGTTTCACCGCCCGGCGAAAAAGACAAGATGTTGTCGATCACAGAGATCATGATACCAGCATTGGTATATACACTATATAAGATGGCTGTATGAGGCCATAAGCCCGGCATTTCTACTCCAATGTTGCCGCTTACAACAGCAGGAGCCCACGCTTGGATGCATTAGATTGAAGGTGTTGGTGATAGTCCTTGGGAAGGAGAAGCAGTCGTAAGAAACCAGGGAAGTTGCAGTTTTCGGAGTGGGCGAGTTCATGTGCAAGTTGTTGATGGGATTTGTTACTATCCAGGTGTGAAGTGTTACAGCTTGAAACTCTATATTACCCCATGCAGGTTCGCCTTCACACAGGTAGGCAGCACCAGTTGGAGCCTCAGCTTCAAAACATATCAGAGAGAGAGAGAGGTGAGATGTCTATGATGTTTGTCATTCATGCCATTGGAGTTGGAAGAGCTTGAAACACGGCACGGCTTCCGCACCGATGCCGCACCAGGATCCGTGCACACTTGGCGTTTCATGGTCACCCTTTGGCTGCTGGGCTGACTTGTCAGCAGGACAGACCAACACAAACAGCACCCCGATTGAGTCTAGGAGTCTACCAGCTGGTTTGCAGTAAACCTTTGGAGCTCAGAGAGAAGAGATCCCCATGCAACCTATCCTGCATTTGCACTTGGCCCATTTGGACCGACTAAACCGAACAGCTTAGCTGTGGATTTCGGTGTAGTCTTTTTTGGCCACCAGTGTGGGGTTTTCTTTGCCAATGGCACACGGTCAGCTGTCCCAGGTGGGGGACCCAAATTCTTCAATGTTCGGACACGAGACAAACATGGTGATTCGAGATCAATGAAACTGGGGGTAGGTTCAGTACCTAAAGCAGTAATCGTAGCCCTTTGCATCCCTTCTATATATGTTATATTTTTGTTATTGTATATGGTTCTCGATCTAAAGGTCCTAGACAGGATTGTTGATGACGATGGCCCGGAACATATCAAAATCTCATTTGGCGAAAGCTTTTTCTCGAGTTGGCGAAAGTATTGTTTTTGTTGGCGAAAGATATGGCTAAAGATGTTCTTTCTGCCGCTGTTGCTACTACTACTACTACTACTACTACTACTACTACTACTACTACTACTACTACTACTACTACTACTACTATACTACTACTAAGACTACGACTACGACTACCACTACTACTACTACTACTTCTACTACTACTACTACTACTACTACTAAGACTACGACTACGACTACCACTACTACTACTACTACTACTACTACTACTATTCCTGCTCCGCTTTGGGGGGGTGGCTTTGCCACAAAACTCTACCCCGCAAAAGGCGAAAGTTTGGCGAACGTTCAGCTCAAGATTGGCGAAAGTTCACCCTGCCACATCTGACCCCAGCCCATTATGAGTAAGTCTGAGTGACCGGCTGCTACAGTGAGTTTTGCCATTTTGATTCTTGCTGACACCCAGGAGAAACAAAAGAGACATACAGGGTGTCAACAGTTAAGTAGAAGACACATGCTGACAAGCAGTGAAGTTTTTATTCTGTATTTGCCAGTAAAGAAGAAGCCATTGACGTGACCAAAATTGATATCCATCATACAACATACATGGCACACATAAATACAACATACTTCGGCGAACGATAAAACACAGGAAGGCGAAAGTTTGGCTAAAGTTTTTTTTTGCTAAGATGACACATCCCGGATAAAGGAATTTAGATCAACACATATATATATATATACACACACTATATATATATATACAATATACATAATGACTCTACATGAAGTTTTGCGTAGCAAAAGCCACAACACCAAAGTCGGGACTCACGATCAGCAGCGGTTGGGATTGCGCCCTAACTGCTTCTCCTGTTGGCACCCTAACTGCACTCCTATTGTGTAGGTGTTGTTTGCTTTGCTTGTTGGAACCGGCGGTCCACTCTATGCTCATAGAGACTGTTAATGTAATATGTAATATATATATATATATGTATAGTTTGATATATGTATATCTATAAAACAAAATAGGGCAGCTATGACCAAATCAATATATAATGGTTGGAAGCGATTGTTCCTTCACATGAGGTTGGCGACACTCAATATGGGGGACGAGCACCAAACTGGCTCTATCCCCAATTGCTGTTTGAGCAGTGTGTTTTGCGAATCAAATGCATTGGCGAATCCAATGGTGCATTGCTGCCAGCTGTCAACTCTCCTGCAGTGCAGGTGCCGTCGAAGCTTCCTGCACTCGTTTCGAGTGGACCTGAACGCCAAAAAAACCCAGTTGCAGAGCAGAAAAATCATCCGCATCGACACTGGGAACTGAGATGTTTGAGGTCGGGGGTCCACTTGCCGCAGTTTGTCCTCTTCCTGAAGATCTTCAGAACGCTTTGGATATGCTGGAGTGGGCCCTTTGAACCCCACAAGTCACATTGAATCAGCTTTTGGCATGCCGCCAAGCTTGTTGAATCTTGTTAACTGCACAGCTTATGGTCTCGTGTCCCCTTTAACTGCTTCAACTATTTTGGGTAGCTTGTAGTACTGTAGAGTGCTTGTAGTTCGATCGCTCAGCAGAACACAAATGGCACACGGTACACGGCCACTTCGCGCCTCAGGAGTTGAGCTCACTACACGACCGCGCGCATCTGCAAATGCTGACCGGGTGGCGAAAAAGGGACGAGGCAATGGCTGTTTCATGTACAGGGTTGACTTAGCATGCCATAGCAAACCACTAGGGAATGATTTTTTCTGTTGGGGTGCCTGTTGCAAGGCTTCGGAGGGTAGTTACCTCCACACGGCGACACACAAACACACCGCCATTCTTGAGACAGCTACTTAGCTGTACCATGATTTTGCAAATCATGCATGGCAGCATGAGGATTCGACATGATTCGACTGGAACCTAGCGTTCCCTTTCTTTAAGGCTTTAGTAGGTTGTAAGGTGGGGTGCCATCCTTTGGACGGGGCATCATGTGCCTGGCTTTTAGAGAGCTTGCTTCCAGCGGTTTGGATTTTGGAGTTCCATGTGTACCCTGAACCAGGTGTGCCAAACGAATTGAAAGGTCTAGGTGTGAGGCCCAAGGCCTTGAAGGGGGGATGCTGTGACAACCGATTTCCTGTTGCTTCCATTGGAGCAGCGTTGCCGTTCCTTCTGTTCCTTTCCTTGTTGCATTTCTGAACCGGTTCCAACTTCATGAGCCAATCATTTCGGACCCCGGTGGTGTTTGGCGGACCCAAGGCGTGGCCGTCGCTATACTGTAGCTGCTCTACTACAGCCTTATATTGTGTAAGAGATGTTCAGGAGCAACTTTTGAGTGGTTGTGCATTGCTTTGTGCCGAGCATGCTTGCTAGTAGGCTCCCCGCTCCAATTGTGTTCTGGACATTTAGAGTTTAGACAGGTGTAGAAATATATAATAATGTAATACATCCAAGGTCCAAGGGCTTTCAATTGTCCCGTTGGTCCGATTCGTTTGCAACTCATATGCTATGATATGTTAACATGTCAATCCCGCAGGCACTGCTTGGGCTCAGTTGTTGTAAGATACCGCTGCAATGCAATACTATTGTGTGTGTCCTAGACTATGCCACTTGTTTGCCCACTTGAGCTGCTTCCTCATGCCTTCACGCAACTGTACTTGCATAGTCACGGCAAGAATGTTTACAGCATCAGTAGCCCATTGAGGTAGAATGTTTACGGCAACGTTTGGAAGCACAGTGCAAGCACCTCAACTGGAACTCAGATAGACACTCAGCACGTGAGCAGCGGACCTAGTGTCCTTTTCTTACATGGGCTGCCGCCGATCAGCCTCTGCCAGGCCTCATGGCTAATGGTGGTGGAGAGTGTTTGGCCATGAGCATGCTAGTTCAAGACTATGGCCATGAGCATGGTGTTTCTGTGTTTTTCTGCTCTCCCCCGACCCCCGCCATTGCATGCCACTATATTACTATATACATGAATCATGCTGCGCAATGCTGCAAATACACGGGCTGCAGGGTCGCCATGGTTTGTTTTGCTGTTGTATTCTAGGCTTAGTGCCAGCATAGTAAAGCAGGCAGATGGCAGACACGACACTGACACCACATAAATCGAGAGAGAGAGAGAGAGGGACCACGGAGACATAGAAAGCAAAGAAAGGAATGGCAGTTTGTTTGTGCAGATGTCGCGGCGCCTTAGGCCTTATAGGCATCCAAATCAGCAAAATCCGGGGAGTTAGGGGCGTCCACCACCATCCAGCTTAGGCGGAGTAGAAGCCGCAGCGCACGCCGCGCTAGCCCACCACGCGCTAGCCCACGGCGCAGCGCGCGACGAAGCCCACCACGGCGCCGGAGTACAAGCCGCCGACGCAGCCCTCCGCGGCGCAGCCCTCCGCGGCGCAGCCCGCCGCGGCGCAGCCCGCCGCGGCGCAGCCCGCCTCGGCGTCGCAGCAACAGCAGACGAAGCCCTCCGCGCCGCAGCCCGCCTCGCCGCAGCCCGCCTCGTGGAAATTCACGTCGCCGCAGCCCGCCTCGGCGCAGCCCAGTCAGGCGGAGCCCTAGGCGAACGCCACCTCGGCACCTGGGCGTTGCAAATCAATAATATGGCTTCACAATTCTTCTCACATCATCTTTACATTGGACGCCCTCTGGAAGTTGTTCAAGTCAGCAAATTGTTCCACAATACTTACATAACTTGTTCCTGTTGCTATTGACGAATCAACCGTGAAGGAGGGGCCTTGTATGAACTCTATGTTAGACACAAAAAGCGAGTTTGGATGCTCATTTCCCTTGATTGGTTTGTTTGCGACTACTACTACTCCTCCTACTCCTCCTTCCTCCTCCTCCCTCCTTCTGCTGCTGCTACATCTGATCTACATCTGAGAATCTATATACCTCAAATCATATGCACCGGACTCTTTTGCTTCGAACCCTTTCGCACCGGACCTCCAAGGCGTAGCCCGCTCCGTCGGCCCAGCCCTCGACGCAGCCGCAGCCGCGATGGCAGAGAGGGCCGGAGCCCTGGTCGAGGCGATGACGGCCGTGGTGCCTTGGACAGAAAGCGGTTGGTCATCGTGGGGCCTTGGATGTCCATGACAACATGGAATCGGAGACCTTTTGATTCCTTGTCAGAAAGCATCCAAAGTAACCACTTCCGACATGGTGAGTAGAAATTGGCAAGAAAGACTGTGAGTCTTATTCTTGATGTTCGTGACCCCTTGTACATGACTTGAGCTGAGCTCGTTATTTGCGCCCGCCACGCCAGGCAAGCTAGGCGAAACTGATGCCAGTAATGATGGCAAATTGGGTGCCTTCGTCAGCCTAGGGTATCACAGGGGATTTTGACAGCGTTCCTGCATGGTGGTTTACTTTCTTGAATTTGCAGGGCATGTTGCTGTTAGTTGTGGAAAAAAAACCTATGAGTCTGTGAACATTTTTGCCTTGCTTCATGGTGCCCTTGTTTTTTTGTGGGATTCATCGACTCTGCTAGCTGAGGTGCGACACAGGGCGACACAAAGAATGAAGGCCCTCCCTACCGGGTTGCCACACCATGAACACCAAAAAGTTCACAACATAGATTGGCGATAGTTCAATAAATTGAGTTACATTTGTTTGGATTTTCAAGTTGCGTTTTACTGTTTTCTCTTCAGGCAGTGGCATTCTTACCGCTGACGTATTGGCAGAGGCTGCCAAGAGGCAGGCAGATGCATGGCATCTGCTGCGGACAAAGTTGGCAAATCATTTAAAACGAGATCCCAAGATCCCAAATTACATGTCTTGTGCTTCCTCGTCGAGAAGATGTTGTAGAACTCTTCAGAGCTTCAGCTTCGCGCCGTCAGATGGTTTTGCCATGTTTTGCCACAAACCTCGCCGTGGAGTGCCAAGTGGTGAACTCGCCACTTGGGTCGCTGTCGCCAGGGCCGCCCTGGCACGTGCGAATGCCATCAAGACGCTGCATGCCTCAAGAGATAGAGCTTGTGTCACTTGACGGCAATTGTATCACTAGGGGGCCCGGTATACCGATCACTGCAGACCCGCATGGCGATCCTGTCCTTCGGTCGCAGTTGTGGCTTGTTACCGGCACTCAAGAAATCACAGGTCAAACTTCAAAAGAATATATGTGCTTCTTGTTTCTAATAGCTTCTTGTTACTACTAGTAAGGCAGTTGTTCCTAGTAGCTGATATATATATAAGTGTTGTTACTTTGCATTTTTGTAGCTGAAGCCAGGTAAAGCAGCTATGTTCGACTAATTATTGGCTGTAATTAAACTAGGCAGACAGAGCCTCATACCGTCTCAAAAGATGAGCCGCTAGCCGCTAGCCCATGAATGATGCACCATGGGTTCGCCAGGTCTTCTTCTTGCAGGGACACTGTGCCTTGGTGTTTGAAGTGCCATGCATCACTCGCACAACTTGCGGTGCGATAGGTTCACTCTCCAAAGACATCAGACCCACTGGTTTGTCAGAGAGCAGAAGGGTATGTTTATCAGTTTGTCTGAATATTTTCCAGCAGGCGTCAGAGAATCAGCAACCCAATCATTGGACTTCGCGTCTTTTTCGCTGCCCCAAGGCAAGCTCTACTCCAAGTGCACCAACTTTCATCCTTCTGATGAGGCTGAGAAGCAGCGAAGCGTGGTTGCAGAGAAACGACGAGAACCTGTAGCCTTGAGAACTTGTACTGTACATGTCAATGTTCCGTCACACTCGTAGTGGCTGAACGGAACATTGGTTTTCATAGGAACCATTCTACGCATTCTATTTGTATTGGTGTGTATTTTGATAAGGAATATATAGCTAGTCACTAGTCGCACAATTCGTGTTTTGAGGTTTGGCAAATACAGCAAACAAAGCCCCACAAATATGAGCAAACACGTTCACAAGAGCAGCTCAGGATGGCTTGATGATTACTTTGCCACGAAGTGTATGCTAGCCGAGCTGTGGCCTCAGCACTTCTTGTTTTGCCGGTTCAGTCGGTTCAGCATTCACTCCGACACCTTCCCAGTCTAGTCTTTGGCTCAGGCGCTGCACCACTCCGGCACTTGAAATGCAATTAATATCCACATGGTGTTGCAGTTGTCCAATCAATCATATATATATAGCCAAATTAGATATAGCCAATCTAAAACATGTATTCTGACACCTGGAGCAAACGATGCAGATGCAAATGCTTTTTATTATGATTCCAGCAGTTTGGCTATGCCTCATATCTCTGAGGCATGCCTCTACAGTCACCCTGGGCAGGTGAGAGGTCAGCCGCCACCGGGTGGTACCATAGAAGATGCGGAACAGCAGGTGCGGCCAGTTGTTTTTTGCGGAACATGCCTCAGTGGTCCTAGAGTCTAGAGTTCATAGCAAACAATAAGCACATCCAATGGGCGACGAATGAGGACGCGCAGTTCAAGGCTGAAAAGGCTGGGCGGAACCGAGTGTCGATGCTTTCCTTCATCTCAGCCAGTCTCAGTGACCCCGAGAGAGAGAGAGAGAGATAGAGAGAGAGATAGAAGAACACTTCTATGTTTCTTAACATAGTTTTGGAAACTGGTTCTGTCGATCGGGAGTCATCGTAGGAAGCATGGACGCATCACCAGTGCTGAAGTCTCTTTGAGCATTGTGGTTGCTTGTCTCCTTGCAGGCTGCACGAGACAAGCTGAAGGTCGCACAGGACAATGCACAACGGTGTGCTTCGCCCGCTACGAAGTACAGTCATTGCAGTCAGCATCAAGTATCAACTCATGGAAATGGTGGAAGGTCTAGTCTTGTCAACACTTGCCAATGAATTTGCAGGAGACGGCCATGAGCAAAAACCAGTCTGTGGCTAGCTCGATTGACTTGAACATTGAATTTCCGACTTCGTGTTTGACACCGCATATGTCGTGAGCAGTTGGAAGAGTGGAGTGTCACTTATGGTGCGAAATGTCTACCTGCTTTGAGTATTTGATTGTATTTGATTGTTGTTGAAATAGGAAGGTTCAGCGTCACATGTCCTGGAATCATGAATGGAACTTGTCCCACGCCCAGGGCGAGCAATCTTCACACCTCTCCGAGGTGCGCGACCAGTCGCTAGTGGATGTTTTGGATCGTTCGGGCGGGTTTCGGCTTTCTGTGTGTGTTAACCCCTGTTTCCAATCGCTCAAGTGAAGTGCTGTACAGCAACTCTGCAGGGGGGCAGTGAATCTCATTCCATCCACTGCCCAATGAAGACGGTGGTTTGAGATTGTGAAGCGAGAAGGGACGCCTTCTTATGTACCTGCAAATTTTAAATATATACGTTAAAGAGCTAATGCATCTTGTTGAAACATTCAAGTGAGCGGACTCTTCACTTCATACAGTTGAGTCAAGTCAAGTGCTACGTATTCACCTAAAGGGCTAATGATCCCCGCGAACAGCTTGAAATCACGCTCCGCGGAGCAACCTTCTCAAGTGTGTCTTCGCAGCTTCTTCCCACCGTGGTAAGCTGTGTGATCCCTACGGGGCGCCGTTACTGCAAGAACCTTCTCACTCCTCATTGCAGGAGTAATTTCCCTGAAGTTTTTCTGAAGTTTACTCGACTGAATTTTCCTGCTCGAAATCAGCTTGATTGGAGTGTCTCACCTTGTACACGTGAATTGTACTGCAGAGTTCACTGAAAGCTCTTACTGAAATATGCTGCAGAGTCTGAACTGTATCAGTGAAATCTTCCGAACCCCCAATTGTTCATAGCAATTTATATGCGCCGATTTCGGCTTCTCAGCCAGTGCCTCCGGGCCCGCGCCGTTCGCTCGTAAGAGCATTTACCCCACCCCACACCCCCTGCACCTTTTCTTGTTTTTCCTTGCCTTTTCGTTTGTCTTGTTCCCTCCTTCAGGCTGGTTAGGTGTGATCCAGGCTCGTTTAGTCAACGCACGCCCTGCCCCACCCCCTGCACCCCCTGCACCTTTCCTTTCTTTCCTTGCTTTTTCGTTTGTCTTGTTCTTTTCTTCAGGCTAGTTAGGTGGCATCCAGGCTCTTTTAGTCAATGCACGCCCGAACACCCCTCCACCCCATGGTAAAAGTAAAAGAAAAGGAAAAGGAAAGCAAAAAAGAAGCGGTCAAATGCAAGGACATCCCAAAGAACATTGTGCTGCAGCGCTGCATCTATACTAGCTGCGCCGGTTTCGGCTTTCTGTGTGTGTTAACCACTGTTTCCAAGGGCACTATTCTAGCTACTCATGCTCGCTCAAGTGAAGTGCTGTACAGCAACTCTGCAGGGGGGCAGTGAATCTCACTCCATCCACTGCCCAATGAAGACGGCGGTTTAAATTTTTAATATACGTTAAAGAGCTAATGCATCTTGTTGAAACATTCAAGTGAGCGGACTCTTCACTTCATACAGTTGAGTCAAGTCAAGTGCTACGTATTCACCTAAAGGGCTAATGATCCCCGCGAACAGATTGAAATCACGCTCCGCGGAGCAACCTTCTCAAGTGTGTCTTCGCAGCTTCTTCCCACCGTGGTAAGCTGTGTGATCCCTACGGGGCGCCGTTACTGCAAGAACCTTCTCACTCCTCATCGCAGGAGTAATTTCCCTGAAGTTTTTCTGAAGTTTACTCGACTGAATTTTCCTGCTCGAAATCAGCTTGATTGGAGTGTCTCACCTTGTACACGTGAATTGTACTGCAGAGTTCACTGAAAGCTCTTACTGAAATATACTGCAGAGTCTCAACCCGTATCAGTGAAACCTTCCCAACCCCCAATTTTTCATAGCAATTTATATGCGCCGATTTCGGCTTCTCGGCCAGTGCCTCCGGGCCCGCGCCGTTCGCTCGTAAGAGCATTTACCCCACCCCACACCCCCTGCACCTTTTCTTGTTTTTCCTTGCCTTTTCGTTTGTCTTGTTCCTTCCTTCAGGCTAGTTAGGTGTGATCCAGGCTGGTTTAGTCAACGAACGCCCTGCCCCACCCCCCTGCACCCCCTGCACCTTTCCTTTCTTTCCTTGCTTTTTCGTTTGTCTTGTTCTTTTCTTCAGGCTAGTTAGGTCGGTTAGGTGGCATCCAGGCTCGTTTAGTCAATGCACGCCCGAACACCCCTCCACCCCATGGTAAAAGTAAAAGAAAAGGAAAAGGAAAGCAAAAAAAGAAGCGGTCAAATGCAAGGACATCCCAAAGAACATTGTGCTGCAGCGCTGCATCTATACTAGCTGCGCCGATTTCGGCTTTCTGTGCGTGTTAACCACTGTTTCCAAGGGCACTATTCTAGCTACTCATGCTCGCTCAAGTGAAGTGCTGTACAGCAACTCTGCAGGGGGGCAGTGAATCTCATTCCATCCACTGCCCAATGAAGACGGTGGTTTGAGATTGTGAAGCGAGAAGGGACGCCTTCTTGTGTACCTGCAAATTTTTAATATACGTTAAAGAGCTAATGCATCTTGTTGAAACATTCAAGTGAGCGGACTCTTCACTTCATACAGTTGAATCAAGTCAAGTGCTACGTATTCACCTAAAGGGCTAATGATCCCCGCGAACAGCTTGAAATCACGCTCCGCGGAGCAACCTTCTCAAGTGTGTGTGTGTGTGTCACCTCCCGTTCCAAGGGAGAATGGCCATATATTGTTTGTTTGCCTCTGACCTTTAGGAACTTTTAATTCGATTGTTGCATAGGGTTGCAGCGGGGCAGAGAGGACGTGCAAGGCTTTGCCCAACGAAGCTCTTTGCACTAGTCCTAGGAAGCGGGAGCTGATCACTCCTGTGTTTTTAATCTCTCTCTCTCTCTCTCTCTCTCTTTTTTGAGCTGTTGACCAGGCCGTTTACACCACTTTCCACTCAAGGGCTAACGCGTGATGTTAAACATTTCTATTCTTGCGGACTCAGCCACCTTTCCGTTCCCTCAGCCAAGGCTTAATACTGTACTATGTAAAGGTCTACTTGCAGTAACACTGGAGTTACTAAACCGATTTAGCTCTTGCGATCATGGATCTAAGTGTGTGTGTGTGTGCCAACACCTGTTCCTAACGTTTACCTGGTATTTTTTACCGTCGGTTCCACTAGAAGGCTGGGTGCTCCTAGTAGTTTCTGACCTTACTACTAGGACCAAAAGAAGCAGGGGGCCACAGACCTGCCACTGCTGCTGTGGCCAACGAAGACCGGCAGTGGCAGGTGTGAAAACGTACCTGCAAAACTGTTTAAAATTGTTTATAGCGGCTAGTGCGTAGGCGGTCTGCTAGGTTTTCTGTAAAACGGCTAATGCATAGGCGGTCTGCTAGGTATTCAGTAAAGCGGTCTGCTAGGTATTCAGTAAAGCGGCTAATGCATAGGAGCTGAACCTTTTGTTAAAACACCTTCAAATGCTTGGACCTATCGCCTTTCCGTTCTTTCGCCTTTCTTCCACCTGGGAATTGAGTTCACAGAAAACCAATGTCAGAGTGTGAACCGCTCAGTCGTCCCACTTGGGTGCTGGGTGTGATCCCCGTCACTGGGGCGCTGAATTCATGCTGGAAATCGTGTAACGGATTTTCCTTTTCCACCAATCCTTGGATTCTCTTAACTGCCCACTTTTCACTACTGGATTGACTGTCTCAACAGCCGCCGGGCTTTCACGGAAATACCAAGTTTCATGGCATGGGGTTGCGTTGGAACTGGAGACTCGAATAGGAGACCCTTCAACAAGTTTCCACGGTGAACGGTGAGACACGGCACCCCTCCCTACCCCCAGGCCCCCGTTGCTATCCCACCCGCTGTTCGGGCAACAGAAGGAAATCGCACTCAACACACTTGTGTGTTGGTGCCTTTCCTTCTGTTTCTCCTATCTATTAGCTACCCGAGCGGTCTAAGACAAAGGTCCCGCTCGCGAGCTACTTTCATTTAGCTAAGTGGGCCTCGTAACTACACCTATCTTTCTTTCTTGCCCTCTTAGTCTGCTTTTGTTTTGTTTTCTTTGTTTGTCTTTCTAAGGCTTTTTAGGTGACTAGTAATTTTTCCGCCGCGCCAAAACTGGCGCTATATGTACAAAGTTGTTGCACACAGAGCGCCGATAGCGGCACTATGTGTGTGTCAACACCTGTTCCTAAGGTTTTGCCTGGTATTTTTTTACCGTCGGTTCCACTAGAAGGCTGGGTGCTACTAGTAGGTTCTGACCTTACTACTAGGACCAAAAGAAGCAGGGGACCACAGACCTGCCACTGCTGCTGTGGCCAACGAAGACCGGCAGTGGTAGGTGTGAAAACGTACCTGCAAAACTGTTTAAAACTGTTTAAAGCGGCTAGTGCGTAGGCGGTCTGCTAGGCTTTCTGTAAAACGGCTAATGCATAGGCGGTCTGCTAGGTTTTCTGTATAACGGCTAATGCATAGGCGGTCTGCTAGGTATTCAGTAAAGCGGCTACTGCATAGGCGGTCTGCTAGGTATTCAGTAAAGCGGCTAATGCATAGGTGTTAAAACACCTTCAGTTGCTTGGACCTATCGCCTTTCCGTTCTTTCGCCTTTCTTCCACCTGGGAATTGAGTTAACAGAAAACCAATGTCAGAGTGTGTGCGCGCGCGTGTGCCTTTTGCCATGTTTCAGGATCAACATGCGAATCTGAACTGGTCATAGTGGCAAATCGTTGGGGCCATGTTTAGGATTCTTTGAATATGCAATCGTAGTAGTTGAGATTTGTATATCATCAAAGCTTGGACACAGCAGTTCAACGGAGAGGGAAAGAGAAAGAGAGAGAGAGAGAGAGCATCCCACTCGTCACAGGCAGCCAGCCACGCGGCCATGAAGCTGGGCTTGAACCGACCCCCTCCACCACCACCACCTGAACTGCTAGCTGTTTCAGGCAGATTGGGCACATGAAGTGGCTTTGAGGACAAAGGACCAATTACACTCAATGAGCCCCATCGCCCCCATTGATTGCCAGCTTCCGGACGATTGCTTGTGTGCATGATATTGGATCAGCTAACTTCCAGACTCCAGAGTCCTCTTTTTTTTGCGCTCGGAACATTTGCCCTGCTTTCGCCGAACGCAGGGCAAGACCTGCAAACACCGCTCCTTGGCGATGGGATTCGTGGGCGAAGAGTGTCTTTGGTTGATTCTGATAGGGCCACAAAGAGGATTTAGTAACCTTCACTAGTGAGCTGTGATGGGAAGAAAGGCCCCAAAACCCAAAGACAGACAGGTTTTGGTTTTGGTGTGTTGGGTCGATGTGTCCATGTGGAAACCACAAGACCTGGCTGAGTCGCTGCATGACAATCATAGAATACTGTATAATTATATTATGCAGATATCATGCAGCTATTCTGACCCAGATTTGGACCCACGGCCGTGGTTTTTGGGAGGCTAGCGGCTTGTTTGGGAGTTGTCGCGGATTCTTTTGGATTTGGCAGTTTCTTTTTCGTGACGAGATGCGCTCAGGGGTGAGGCAGCTGATGACCCGATGGAAGCAGAGATCCGCCGGATGATGCAACAGCAGCAGCCTGGCGAGCAGCCGCAGAAGCCTATATCTAGCATGCCGCCATGAACATGTGCTAGAAATGTGCCCAAACAAACAAGCAAGCAAGCAAGCAAACAAACAATGTATTAACAATAATAGTACTATATAGTTATATATATATATATTCTTGATTATACTATATTTTACTAAAATGTGTTATATTATATCATATAAACACTATACTATACTATACTATTTACTGAACATGTTGATTCATGCACATGTTTCTGACTGACTGTGGGTTGTTCCACATAGAGCTGGCGCTGCCGCTGCTTCGAATCTCTTGCGAGGCAACAGGAATACCAAGCAAAGCAGATTGTCCAGGGCTCCGCTACAATGAAGGCTGGCAGCCCAATGCCTCCCAGTCCCTTGGCCAGAGAGTGGAATGACAAAAGCTCCCAGGAAGAGGGCGGGTGCCCCACAACACCCGGCTCAAATATGTCTAGAACAACTCCTTTGTCAAAAGCTGCCAAATGAACATCCGCAGTCAACGGAAAATGCAGAGTAGCCCAGATGGGAGTCACATTGAGCGTCGTTGGCCACAGAAGTGAAACATCAATAAATTTGGGTGTCCTCTTCCTGCCGAGCATTTTTCATTCGCTTAGTGACTCGGTTTGTTGCAACTCGTGTCCGCCTTGGTCTTGAGAAAATTCACTCGGGCCATGAATGGAGAAGGGAAGCTGGCTTGGCTTTCATATAGATGAACGAATCTTGGCACCAATTGTCAGTCCTTGCCTGTTTTCGCGGCATGTATGTCACGGCATGTCAGTTGCCTGTGAGACACTTGAGATGGAGTGGCTTTGAAGCCTAACCGAGGATCGACAGACCGCCAACAGCCAACGTTTGACAATGAACTCGCAACCAAGGTTTTCCTTAGGAGTTGGGCTACGAGTAAAGCGGGATCCCTCAGTCTTTGTTTGCTTTTTGAGTAGGTTGATGGATTGATGTAGATCCCAAGTCACCATCGGACAGCCCGCTTGCTGCTGGGAGCTGGCGACAGAGGAGAAGGGCCTCCGCCACTAGAGCCGTGTTTGGAACTCTTTCGCGGCAAAAGGCCATTCGAGGCTGAAGTCGCCATGGAATGTGCCACTTGTACCGTCCAGCTGCATGCGCAGCTGCCAAGTCTCTGAAAACTTTGATTGGAAGACACTTCAGACTCCAAAGTGCCCAAAGTTGTTTTTTGTATGTTTTTTGTCAGCATTTTCAGCTGAGGTGTTGATGGAGGAAATGCTGGTTTTGATCCATCCCAGGATGGGCAGAGAAATGGATCATTAAAAGCAACCGGTGGCGGTGGGTGTAGCTGTGGCGCATCAGGGCCATGCAGTGGACCTTGTGGAGGATGTGGTGCTTGTGGCTGCGGAGGAGGGCCCTGTGGAGGATGCGGCAAGGGATGCGGTGGAGCTTGTGGCTGTGGAGCTTGTGGAAATCTGTGTGGTTGTGGCAGCTGTGGTGGCTGTGGCTGCGGCAGCGGCTGCGGCAGTTGCTGTGGAGGTTGTGGTGGATGTGGATGTGGAGCCTGTCCGAGCGGTCCAGGCGGTTGTGGATGCTGTGGTGGCCCGTGTGGATGTGGAGGATGTGCTTGCGGAGCTTGCGGCGGCTGCGGTCGCTGTGGACCTCCAGGCTGTGGGCCGCCAGGCTGTGGCGGTTGTGGCTGCGGAAGCTGTGGTTGTGGTTGTGGGTGCGGCCCAGGTACTTCAGGCTGCAGTTGTGGCTGCAAAGGGGGTTGTGGGGGGTGCTGCCCTAACATGGGTGGCAAAGGTATGGGCATGGGCATGGGCGGCATGGGTGGGATGGGTGGCATGGGTGGCATGGGCTGTGGCCCAGGGTTGATGATGAATTCCAACCTCAGCCCAGCAGAAGAGGCAATGATGTCTAAGTCAATCACGGAGCTGAAGTCGCTGATAACATCATTGGGTGGCACCATACCGCCACCTCCCTACCTAAAGCAAGACCTGGCACGCTTGGCGGCTTCAATGTCCCGATAACATCCACACGAAGATGCAGACCGCAACGGACCGCAACTTGCCGCGAGACAAGATCACTTGGATCCGTCATGTGTTCGAAAAACAATCGCTTGCAGTTGGGTCAACGACCCTTCCATGTCAGGTATGAAGATCTTAGGTGGAAATGAATTCACTGAAGGCGTAAGGTGCGAGAGTCAAGATACTGGAGGGCGCCAAAAAATTGAGAACGATGTGATTGTGCAGTTGTAGCACCTACTGCTAGAACTCAGATTGCACACTGAGGTAAAGACAGGTTCTTTGAGGGTGTGATTTGACCAGAGTAGCCAGCACCCTGCATTGGTGTCCAGATGCTTGGCACAGGGCATTGTACTACCCTTGCACCAATTATATACACCATTTCTGAGGTTTGCAAAACAACATAAAACATCAATCAGTGTGAGATTTCCACATGTTGTGACATGGCCCACATTTACGAATCTCGTTGAGCCCCAGAAAATACCGTGGTCAGATAAGGACACCAGTCGTTCTGACCGTAGCCACAGCCCACGTCGCACCCTGGAGCCGATGATGTAGGCACCGTGGAAAATTGGAGCCGCGAGCATGGCTAGTGGCTAGCGTGCACACATTGCAAGTGCAAGAATGGGTCAGAACGTACACTAGCAGAATGCAACAATCAGACTTCATTAGTACCAGTTCAGATCATGTCAGAGGTGCAATTGAATTGAAGCTCACGTGACAAACTTGCCTCCAGTTTTATGGAGGTTTGATTTCATGCAGGTTTTTGATTGATGCTTTTGGTCATGTGGTGTTTGATTTCTGACATGTGTTTGGAGTTTTGCGTTCTTGGCCCATTGGCTGACCAGTGCGCCTAGCATCCTGACCAGTGTGAGGCTTCTTAGCTTCTAGGCTTGGGACATGAATCTCAAGAGTCACCGATTTGGAAGGCAATAATCAAGCGCAACATCGACAGCTTCTAGCGGACCTGCCTTTGTTCCAAATTGGTTTTCAAAACACTCGCTCAGTGTGCCTGCCGATCGCCATGACAAGCTACCAGCGCGGATCTCGGAGCACTCCAGTCACACCCAAAATCACCAAGAGCGCTTTAGCTGCAGCTGAGTGCGTCGGTTTGGAGGAAGCTTGTGAGTTTGCTTGCCGCATCATGTGACTGCAACTCTTGGAATGAACCCCCTATATATACCTGGCTGGTTCTACGTTCAATATCATTCCACACCAATTTTATTTTTTCGGTAGAATCACCATTCGACTCCGGGACGAGTCATGAGAGAGAGAGAGAGAGCACAAAAACACGGGCTTGTTGCAGATCAGGACCCTCCTGGGTCCCTGCAAATTTGGGTTATGATTGCATGTTGCGCTTGAGTCGCATGCTGGGTTCACGAGAGGTTTGGAAGCCTGCCATGTTGCTGCTTTCCTTTCGGTATATTTCTTAGGATGGGCTAATGCATGTGCAAAGCCACCAAGGACTATCCCCGCAAAATAGACTTGGCCTCCACTCAGGGTCAAGGAAGATAAGGAAGGTTCCTCTAAAGGGGAACCTGGCGGAAGAGAAGCTCAAGGCTTTGCCAGGCATTCAATATTTCAATGGTGTGTTGCGCACAGATGGCAATGCAGCTAGCACCAGCGTGGTACTTGGACCCACTTTGCCCAACTGTAGAGCTGTCAGGTGCCAAGTCTGAGTCAACTCAGCCCAAGCCTTTCACCTGTGTGAATGAGAAAGGCCGTCACGGGGGCTTTCAGATCTCGCGTGTGTTTTGTTCATTGCTTTGGCATTTAGAGCTTGGTGTGGCTGGAATTCTCATACAAGAGTGATAAAATGTAGGAGCCCTTGCGGTTTGGAATCTGCGGCACGGGAGTGCTAAGTGTTGCATGTTTGCTCCAGATCCTGTGTCATGTTTGGAAGGCCGAATTGGTGACACAGATGACTGGCGCCCGGGGAAACGGATGAACATCACGGTGCGCCTTTGGGTTCTCATTTGGCAGAGCAAGGAGTCCGCGAGTGAGTGGTTCTTCAACATACAGGGTCGGTCAAGTGGTTAGTTTAGACAAGCACTTGAACTCGATCAGTGTAGGTCTAGGTTTCTCAAAGTTTCCTTCACACCAAAACGACGCCTAACACCTGTACTCTGAAAAGTTTTCGCAGCCAACCCATTGAGACTCAGTGAAAATAATTATCTAATTAGGGCTGTTATAGATGCTTTGCGAGGCAGTGGACACAGGCCGAATCCAGAACAAGACCATTGTCTCAGTAGAAAGTCCCGACACTTCGTTTGAAACTAGAAGAGGCAGCATGAGGCTGTGTGTTTGAAGATTTGCTCGATTGTCAGGGTTGAGTTTGCAGGTTGAAGAAGATTGATTTTTTTGTGTGTTTGTGTCGCCCTTTTGGAATACTTTGATGACGTCCACGTGTGTAAGCGGCATTGTTGAAGATTTTATAGTTCAATTGCAGGCAGAGGTTCTATCAGTTATCAGGTGTCACAAATCATAAATTCATTTTGTGGTAAGTCACTGATGACATCTGACAGTTTTGGCTGAGGATTGGATGAAGTCTTTCTTTGAAAACAACCGTTCCTACTTCGAGAAGCAAGGCTTGGCCCAAAGGCTGAAGAAGGCAGACATAGGCGCGCTTTTTGGCTCGCAACCGAATGTGATGGAATGTGATGTATGCTTGGTTCATAGTGGCTGGAATTTTGGCAACTGCAAGTTGCAGCGTTTGCCCAATGGCGCAACACATGTGGCAGGAGAAAGTTCTGCGGGCGTGTCAAGCTCCGCCAGAGCCAAGGGCAAGAAAAGCGGCACAAATATGCAGTTTGGCTGCAGCCTAACGACAAGCTCACAGTTATGGCCATGAACAGATCGATTACGTATGGGGTCATATTAAATGACCAATTGCTCCATGTGCAAGCTCAACTGCAATGCTGGGAAGACTTGTGTTCATGTGTGTGTGTTCTTTTTGCTCACGAGCTTTGCAGCTTCAGGATGTGTGACGAGACTGGAGTTGCCCTTAGCCAAAACCTAGGTTCAGCGTACCTTGGCAGAGGTTGCAGGGTGGACCCCAGCACTTCAGTTGGCAGCATGTAGATGTACAAACGAAGCACACTAGTTAGGGACTATTGCATCAATCCGTTCGAGTCTAGTTCAGAGATGTTCAGGTTTCAGATAAATCGGCAACTTCAATCTTGAGCACATCATCTCCTGCAACTACTGAAGAAGTAACGACAATCAATGCGAATCCCAAGCACTTCACGGGACTGGCATGGGACTGGCATATTTATGCATTACTACATTCACCCCGACCCCTGAAGCTACCCAAAGGTATGCCAAAAGTCCATACATGGAGTGTTTGTTAGCAATCCTGCCCTGTAAGGAACACCCCTGATTGGATGAACAGTGCCCGCAAATGGACGGCGGCATCTCCAAACACTCCCCGGCGGATGGGCGAACGAGATTCTCGGTTGGCAGACTCGAGATGGAAGATGTTGCAAGACCATGCCTTTAGTTTGACATCATTCTGAGTTTACAGATTCTTTAAAGCATTCCGATTTTTTTCCCTTTTTTGCTTTGCTTTCTCGTGAAGACAACATCCTTACTTATTGCCCACATGAGCGGCAACATGTGCAGTGAGGCCGGAAAAGACAGGCGCTGTGGCGGAGTTGTCACCCGTACATCCGTATATCAAGATTCAGTTGCATAGAGCAAGAACAGTTTCGCATAACTGTTGACCAAGATGGAACAACAATGGATCGATTGTTGATATGTTTGCACATGTCCAAGGCTTTTCTTGCATGAGATGATCAAAACATATCGACGCTGTCCATTGCCACTCTTACGACTGCAGTTGTTTGCAGGTTCACCTCTGAAGTGACTCCTCGTGACAAGAGCCCTGTGGCTGCAGAAACGCTGGTTGAGCTATGTAGAAGCAGATTGGCAAAAACTTAGCACCTGTCGATTGGATCCAGGTGCCAGTGAGATGCAGCACCTCCTGGTTTCAGAATCTTGGTTAAGACGGGGAGAGACACAGACAGAGACAGAGAGAGAGAGAGAGATGCACAGACTTCTACAAAACAGCCTTACATATAGCATTTGTAGTGCAACGGCGGTATGATTTTTGGACAACAGAGCAGCTTGACACAACTTCCAAGGAAAGTGTTCCAGAATGGATGAGAAGTGCAGCAGTTGTGCAGGTGATGAACCAAGGCTGGAGTTCCAGAATGATCATGAGACTGTGCCAAGGAGCTCTATAGTAGCCAATGTCAAAAGTCCATTGAGTCTAATGTGCTCTCATTGAAGATACAAGGTCACTTAGCAACGCTGCTACCGCCGAAGAAAAGGATTGTAAGTACACCTGCGATGTTGATGAAATAATAAAGAAGACAATGGATGGTTTCAGGGCACGCTTCTGCTGTTTCAGGCCATGGCTGTATTTCATACATACGCTATATCATACACTTGTTGACAAAGTCAGGTTTGTTTGGGTCCACCTCAGAAGCAGGGCGTTCCTCGGTCACCCCTTGCAGGCCGTCCAAAACGAGTAGAACGTGGCTGTGGGATGCTGTGGGTCATGGTGCTGGGCGACCTGGGTTGACCACCCGAACCGAATGGACTATTCAGCAGGTCAACCGAACCTATCGAACCTATCCTGGTTTGGGGATACGGGTGCCATGACCCACAGCCATATGAAATGCTGTGGCTACAATGCTGGCTCTCCTTGCTGCTGTTTCCTCCATGCCTCGCAGAGCCTTTCCAGGCAACAGATCCGCAAGACCGCAAGCTGAACAAGGTGATACGAGGCTGAGACAGCAAACGGTGGCATTGTGCTGTTGTCATTGCCGCCGTCCTACCAACCAGCCAATTTCGGACCAAATGACGATTTTGGTTCGCTGAACAAGCAGCGCAAGGACAAACCGTTTGAGAGCCGGGTGAGTAACTTTCAGGTGTTTTGCATTTTGATCATTCTATATTGGCGATATTGCTTGGAACTTTGCGTGGGGGTTGATTGTCAGGGCTGCTGGTGTGACCACGGAGCGCTTTTGGGACAGCACCACGCGGAATAAAGGTGGAAATATGGTCCATCCAATGTTGCTTGCCAGCATTCAATAGTTGTATACATATACAAGTGTATATATATATATTATAGTATATAGTTGTTGTGTGTGTTTGTTTCTTTTGGTTGGCTTCTGTATTTTTTTCCGATCCATGGTCCCCAGTGTGCTCTATTGAATCTATTGAGGACTGGCAGGGTGGTTCACAAAGCACAGCAATCGAGCCTTGGCTTTGGGGCCTGGGGTAGTGAAAGCATTGCCCTTTCTGAAAATTTCTTGGAGATGTTATACCGTTCTGCTGATTCTGCGTACGCCCGCCTGGTGTGTCAGGGCAGATCACACAAAACCAAAACATTCTTACTGATCAATGGCCCAACAGGCATGGCAACAAGTCCTCCGCCATTAGTCATCCAACCAACCAAAAATAGAAAATGCCCTTGCACAACTAAGAAGCCTGCCAACTCCACTCGCTACCTCATAGACATGGACACGGCAGCGGGCAGATTTCAGCTGATGGTGCAGGGTTAATCTTGGGCATATAGAACCTGAATATGTTGGCTTATCTATATATATATAGTCCAAATAATATACCGTTATATGTTATACCTACCACTGCACCTCGTTGCAGTCATAGTCTCATTGTCAAAACAGGGGTCGCTTGTGCTTTGCTGCCTACGCTGTTCGGGGGTTAGTCTTCATGCGAGGATTCTTCATTCCAGTTGGGGCATGTTGTAGTATTGACTCTCGCAGTCTCAAGTGTTGAAATGGATTCATATGAATTCATGCTTCAGTCCAGTATTCAACGGTCTCCCTACAATCTACTTTAGAAGCTAGATGAAGCTAGAGGTCACTTGGCCCAGTTGTTTTCCAAAAATAATTTTGGTTCTCTCTTTAGGACGTCTTCAAGACGTCTTCAGTGATTGTGTAAACCATCACGGGTCAGTCACGTCCTAATTTTCTTCTTCCTGTCTCCCCTTTTTGCATGGTGAAGTATGTATAGAGGCCGATTGCAAAAGAATCAATCCATGGCAGTCCCTGTCAAACAGCTGTTTGACAGCTAGACTCAGCAGAAAAAGGGAGAGAACAAAAACAGGTGCACAACATTGGGTTGACCTAACCGGTTCGTTCGACTCTGACTGAAGCAGATCTGTCTCAGATCAGAATCAGCTGAGGGATGATTTTCCCTTGGAATCTGGTGCTAGTCACCGTGCTGCGTTTGAGGACCCTCCAGATCTTGATGCTGTCGGTCGTGACCCCTCCCACCAACGAAGAACAGTTTGCTTGATTGTTTGGCATAGTATTTACTGTAGATTTCCCTGAGGGGAAACAGCATCCATGGTGCTGCTGCTACAGAAGATGAGTGCACATTGGAAGAACCAACAATCGCAAAGGGAATTCAGCCTGTGACATGTAAGGAATGTTGTTTAACTGCGCAGCATGAGTTGACAAGGACCTGGCTCTTAATGAACTTCCTGGTGTTAAATTGGAACCTCCGCCAGGAGACCATTCGGAAAAGGCCCAACTCAGCACGAGAATCGCGTGGCAGATACGCAGGTGACAGATCAAAGGCGCTTGTGTTTGTCTCGTTTTGCCTATTGAGATGAAGTGATGTGAATGGTTTAAGAAGAGTAGGCTTAGCTGATTGCGGATGGAGCGTGAACATTTGCAGAATCAGACGTGTTGTCCCAGTGCTGTCGCAACTACATTCCTCTCGTTCAGCAAGTCGTGCAGCTGCAAGGAGTCCAGGGACAAAAAGAAGGGAACTGTGCTAGATCAAGATACTGGCAAAGCTCCTTGCCAAAGATTGGATGCAACAGAATCATGATCCTCACAGTGTGAGTCCTTTTGATCCGCTGTGGCATGAGACTCCTCATCGACCTTGCTACCATCAGTTTGAATATTTTTGAGACTCCACTACTCCCCAACAGATGGTCTTTTCAACAAGCCGCTCCATGCAGAGCGAGCAGAGGTGGCCAACAACTCCATTGTGTCTCCGGAAAGCCCTGCCTGGATGAAAGGGCCGTTTGAAAACAACCGCCACTTGGAAGATCTCGCTTGATTGTACGGCCATGATGTGGGAGAGATTGACAAAACAATCTTTCAATCAACCTTTGGACCCTCATGCGGCCCCCAGCAACAGCTTCGAAGACATTGTAAGGATCAATGACCTGTTTTGGGGCTATGATTGAAACTTTCAAGCAGCTATAGGCTATGATGCTCGTTCGAAGCCATCATGGTTTCACGCTCTCGAGGTATTTTTTCCGCTGCACCAATCCCGCAGACTTCAACAAACGCATTGTGGTACCAACAACAAAGCCCGGACATAGCCCCAAAGCAAAGTTGTGTTTTTTCAGAGGATGTATGGAACTTCGGTGTACTGCGGAGCTGCAGGTTGAAGGTGTGTGTCAGGTGCAACAAGTTTTGTTTTTGTGTTTTTCTATGATTGGTCTCGCAAGGCCACCAAGAGCCCAAGAGCCCAATGCATGGCAATCCTGTAGCGTCAGTGTAGTCCCCTGCCCCTTCGTAAGAGTTCAACCCTCAGTAACCTTGTTTTTGGCTACGGTAAGTCTGGATCAATGCGATCGAGCCCGTCAACAAGACTGGCGAGTATTCTTGTCGCCCAAAGGTGACTTTTTTGAGAATCAGGGCGTCGCCGAGAAGTTGCGGACCTTGTCAACCCAGGAGTCGGACGTGACACCGTTTAACCCAGTGGCTGTATGGCTGGTTTGGCATGTGCTAGGAGTCTAGGAACAGGATTCAGATAGTTGCAGACATTGAAGTCATTGAGATGGACACATTGCACACATAGTTGCGTTGCGTATGAATGATCCATTTAGTTGCGTTGCCTGCCGCTTGGCATCGGATGGAGGTTGCATATCATTGCCATGTTTCATCATAGCACTGGGAGAGGGAGAGAAGAGAGGGAGAGGGATCCACGACACTTATATATAATTTGTTTGCAAGTTGGAATTAAGCATGGATCGCTTGGATTGGACTGCGTCATCAGATGTTTCCCCACAAAGTGACATCCTACCGCCCCACCGCAAAAAAAAAAAGCGCAGCAAAGCTCGAGCAAATCGAGCTTAGCAATTTTCCGGAGACGGTGCCATGCGGTGCTCCCAGTGGTGCTTCCTTTTGTTGGTCCTGATCCTTGAGATCGTGGCGAGTTGCGATTGGGACGATTGTGATGAGGGCATGTCCCTCCGGCAGCTACGGGGCCAGAAGACTTCTCAGGCCCAATGGCCGTTTTCAGACCGCTGGCGCCCTAAGAAGCTTGTGAGTAGGAATGTCCAAAGCAATATGATATGAGATGGTCTCTATGAAGTGGCAACTGACGCCTTAGAATTTCGATGAATGTGGTAAGGAATATAGTCAATTCCTCTTGATGTCGCAGCTTTTTGGCGTGGGTTTCCGAGCATTGACCCTGGCTGCTGCTTTTTGGCCTGACGCTTTGAACGATGATATCAAACGAATCAAGAATGCCCAATGCGATGATCAAAGGGGAAGTGTGAATACAGGACCAGAACATGTTTATAGTCATTCATAATTTGGTTGGCACTGTCCTCATACGTTGAACTTTTGCCACAGTTGGCCTTACAAAAGAAAACCAACATGTTCTCCACTGCATTCCAGTTGTCTTGGTCACAGGCGGCGTGGTCCTTTGAGAAGCCAGATCCAGAACTTTTGATTTGGGACCGCATTATGCACAGCGCCCTGAACTCGACCACCGGCCGAGTGAATCGAACCATCTACAACGGCTGGTTGAAGGTTCCATTGGTCCATGAAGCCTGGGCTCAACCTTTGTGGGTCGGTGAATATCTCAGGTTTGTTCAAGCCAGGTTTGTATGCCGGCCACTCAAACAAGAGAAAGGATCCCAGGTTAATTTTTAGGGAGATGTTGATAGAGGAGGGTTGGCGAATGATATTAGTGATAGATTTTGAGAGAATTGTATCTCCAGCATTTTGCACTAAGTGTGAGTTCCAGTCGTCATTTGTGTCATTCACATTTCTTGACCATCCTGAGGATCCTGCGCTCATGGAGTTCGAGATGCCACCCTATGTGTGTTTGAGGGTTCGAGGCCTGGCAGCCTTGAAACCTCCAGCCAAGAACGGGCCTATGTTAGCCCACTGTGGAGGACCTGGCAGTGGTCGCGATTGTGCCCAGTCAGCGTTCAATTCAGCCTGGTTCTCCATGTTTCAGAGAATTATATAGTTGGTGGCGAGTAAGAACAAACTTAGGTAAGCTTGCTTGAAAGAGGAAACTGATGAGTCAGGTGCAATGACCATGAGCGCTGCGAACTTCGACATTGATGGGCGTCATGCAATCATCTCAGACTTTGATTTGCTATCAATCGATCAGAGGGGAGTTAACACGTCCAGTGACAGGTATGAGCGTGCAGGAAAGTGGGGAGAAGTTCCTCCATGCCCCTTCAACCTGTCTGGTCGTCCGCTGAGCCGATTTCCAACCATCTACTGTGATGAGATTGCAAAGTATGTGGAGGAGCCGCGGAAGCTGATGAAGCTGCTGACTCCCATTCAGGGTAATGCTTCCGTGGAACACGATTGGAAGACGTATGTCGAACCGATTTGGCGGAGTGGCAAGATCCCCTATGCAGACATGGCTCCCACAAATGAAGCCTACTCACTACACAGAAATTCGCTGTAGTGTTGTTCTTTTTGTGCGGGCCGGTTCCCACAATATCTTTTCAATATGAACTGCGAAGCCAAGAAGAGCCAAAGCCTAGGGCCTAACCGGTGTTTTGTTTGTTGCAGTGCATGCGGGGGCTATACTTGCATCATCTTGCATCAATATAAGTCGTTTTGAAACACAACTGAGAAGTTCGGTGCTGCAATCAACAAAGGAAACCTTTGTCCGATGGTATTATCGCCTGGTGAAGTTGGAGCACAGCTTGTGCTACGAGACCCCACGATACAAGATGAGGGCGCCTAATGGACGTGTGTACAACGCCATGCAGTTTGCCAGCACCGTCGATTGTGCCCACGACATTGACTCTGGGATGAGATTCAAGACGTTGTGACTATGTTGCAACCCTAGCTCCACTCGTTTAGGGCTTTTGAGGGCAATTGCACTTTACTGGTATATATAAACTGTGAGGAAGGGGGGCAGGAGTTTGATGTAGCTAGTAGAAACAATTGTAGTTCGATGTTGGTGCAGTTCCTGAGTGCATTCAAGGCGTGTTGTGTGTTAAACACGCGCACGCTTGATGGCTCCTGTTCTCATTTTGTGTCTTCAACCCGCGAGAGACTGGCACAAGGACTTGTTGAGACGGGCCATTGGTGCAGACAGGATGTCCTGGTACGGTGCATCTTATGGAACCTCTGTTGCCGGAGTTTACGCTTCGATTTTTCCTGAAGTGACTCACCGAGTGGTCATGGATGGTGCCGTGAACCCGAGACCAGATACCGAAGCTCGGAGTGGAAGCTGTGCGAATGGCATTCAGGCCGTGTGGGGTGGAATCGAGAAGGATTGCGAAACCAGCCTTGTCCGCAACCTTTCTGCGGATGAGGTTTGTCCAGCAGCTCCCAGAGTTTCATCCAAGGCTTTGCATGTTTTGAAGGGATCAAATCGAACTGAAGCTTCCTATTTGCTTGAGTTGATGCTTTTCACGGTGTTTCATGCTGAAGCGTTGGCACCACTCGCCATGGCATGCATTGAGCAGTTTTATTCAGGCAAGGAGGTGGAAGGATGCAACAAGGTTTTGCCGATGCTCTCCTCTTATCGGATTGCTTCCAATTCCAGCAACAGCACTAAAGCCAAAAAGGATCGCTTCGGATTAGCCATCCAATCCGCGGTGATGGGCACCGATTCCGCTGGCCGCTTTGATGAAGAGGAGTTTATCAACTGGTGGAGACGGGTCAAAGACACTTGGCAAATTTGCACTTGGCAAGTTTGTTGCGGGTTGGAGTCCGTTGGAGCATTAAATTCATTGAACAACATCTCAAGATATCTCAACCTGCCAAAATAGTCTTAGGCCAAAATAGTGCCCTTTCTCCGGAGCAGATCTTGTGGTGATGGCCAAAGGCAAAGTAAATTCCTCCCACGAATGTTGCGCATGATTATTGGTTGCGGCTGAAGTAAAGATTTGTTTAAGGAGGGCCATTTAATTTAGGATTTTGTTTAAAGGATTTTTTCCCCACCTGCCAGGTGAGGGTTGTTAGATTTTATCACAGTTGTTCTTCCTCCGCCTCCGCCTCCGCCGCCTCCTCGTCCTCCTCCTTCCTCCTTCCTCCTTGCTTCCTTCCTCGCCAATCTTCATCGCCAATCTGCTTCGCCGATCTTGTCTGGCCAGCTCCGGATCGCAGTGTGCACCCCTGGACCTCAACCGCAAGGATCCCCTCGCAGTGTGCACACCTGGACCTCAACCGCAAGGATGCGATCGCAGTGTGCATCCCTGGACCTCAACCGCAAGGATCCGATCGCAGTGTGCACCCCTGGACCTCAACCGCAAGGATCCGATCGCAGTGTGCACCGCTGGACC